CTATGGTTCAGAAATAAAGTGTGGATCTTGTAAAATATATATGTGTCGAATAATATTTGCATAATAAAGATTAGTGATATTTGGAAAATTAAGCCCTCCCTGAGACAATTTTTTAGATAGAATTTTTTGACTGATACTAGGCTTTTTATTCTTCCAAATAAAATTATTGATGGAAGATTGGATCATTGCTAACCAAGGCTTAGGAATTTTAAGTGGGACCATAGAAAATAAGTACAACCATTTGGGTAGAATGTAAGAATTTATAATATTAATTTTGCCTGTCCACAAGGTTTCTAAGTTTTTCCATTTTCTTAAGTTTTGATGCATGTCTTTCATTAAAAACATAACATTCCTCTCCATTATATGAGAGACATTAGCAGGAAAGGTAAGACCCAAAGTTTATTTCCCAATCAGTCCAAATAAATTCAAAATTTTGGGATAACCTTTCAACCTGATCCAAAGACAAGTTAATGGTTAAAGCAGTAGATTTTGAAATGTTTAACTTAAAATTAGAAATTTTTGAATATTTGTCAATTTCAACCATTAATGCCTCAAGTGAGTCCTCCGGGGATGTAACGGTGACCAAAGCATCATCAGCATATAATGCGATTTTAATATCTTTTGATTTCGTTGGGACCCCCTTTATTAGTTGATTGTTTCTAATATTAACAGCGAGGGGTTCAAGAGACAAGATATAAAGGAGGGTTGACAAAGGACAACCCTGCCTTACTCCATTTTTAAGGTCGAACCAGCCCGCAGTAATATTAGGGCCCACAGTTCTAGCCGAAGGAATAGAATACAAAACTAAAATTGCGGTGTATATCCATCCTTTAAAGCCATAGGCCTTAAGGACTTCTCTTAAGTAGCTCCACCCAACCCTGTCAAACGCTTTTTCGGCGTCTAAAGACAGGGCCAGGAGGGGCACAGTATGAACTTTAGCTAAACCAATAATATCAATCAACTTTTGGGTATTATTTGATGCCCATCTGCCAAGGATAAGCCCTATTTGGTCCGGGTGAATAAGTTTAGTTATAATAGTTCTTATTCTCTCGGCAATAATGGCTGAGTATATTTTCATGTCTACATTAATTAGTGTGATTGATCTATAATTTCTCAGGTCAGTACTGTCTCTTGTTTCAAAATAGGGATAATATTTGATTGTAATAATTCCTTTGGAATCGCCTTATTTTCTGCAACTTGATTCAACATTTCTGTTAAGGGATTTAATAGCTGAAGCTTCATATATTTATAGTATAAATTTGTAAAGCCGTCAGGGCCAGGGGTTTTATTTGTAGCTAGTCTATCAATTTGAGATTGGACTTCGTCAGAGGAAATTTTTTTATTTAAGATGGACAGGTCTTGGGAAGAAATTTTCGGAATTAGTGAACTAGATAAATAGTTGTGGATGTCCGTTGTTTCTGGGCACAATTTTAGATTGTATGAGTCTTGATAAAACTGGTTAACTTTTTGTCCAATTTGAGATGGAGTAGAATAAATGGTTTGATCGACCACCCATTTTTCTACCCTATTTTAGGCATAATGGTTTCGTAATCTCTTAGTTAAATTTTTACTCGCTCTATTACCCGTGAAATGGTTACTAAGCTTTAATTTATTTATATTTGTCTTAATTTTTTACTCTTCTTTTAAATTAATTTGTTTTTGTTCAACTCTTTTAAACGAGTTCTCAATTCAGAAGTGGAATGCTGTTTATTTAAATTTGAGCATAAATAAAATTCAATATATAGATCGGGCAAGTTTTTACCATGGTTTTTCTTAAAGGACCACTATAGTGCCAGGAAAACATACTCGTTTTCCTGGCACTATAGTGCCCTGAGGGTGCCCCCACCCTCAGGGACCCCCTCCCGCCCGGCTCTGGAAGGGGAAAAGGGGTTTAAACTTACCTTTTTCCAGCGCTGGGCGGAGAGCTCTCCTCCTCCTCTCCGCCTCCGTTCCGCCCCGCCGGCTGAATGCGCACGCGCGGCAAGAGCTGCGCGCGCATTCAGCCCGTCGCATAGGAAAGCATTTACAATGCTTTCCTATGGACGCTTGCGTGCTCTCACTGTGAAAATCACAGTGAGAAGCACGCAAGCGCCTCTAGTGGCCGTCAATGAGACAGCCACTAGAGGATTAGGGGGAAGGCTTAACCCATTAATAAACATAGCAGTTTCTCTGAAACTGCTATGTTTATTAAAAAATGGGTTAACCCTAGCTGGACCTGGCACCCAGACCACTTCATTAAGCTGAAGTGGTCTGGGTGCCTAGAGTGGTCCTTTAAAGATTTGACCTAATTTAATTATATAGCCCCACATGACAGATTTATGGGTACACCAGTTTGTCAAAGGAGAAGTATCTACTGGTTATTTTCTGCCCAAAAATATTCTAGTAACTTGGTCAGTTCCTCCCTGTTATTAGTGTCCTTAATAAGAACATCATTCAGTCTCCAGGTATTACAGGAGAGAGGGGGAGAATTGCCAAGATCAAATAAAACAAAACTATGGTCTGACCATGGGTTTTCCTTAATATTAATGGATTTAAAGAGCGGGATTGTGCAGGCATTTGTTAAACAGAAATCGATCCGTGAGTAGGTGCCGTAATCCGCGGATAAGTGAGAAAAATCTTTTTTAAGAGGATGAAATATTCTCCAAATATCATAGAGATTATATTGATTGCAGATATTATTTAACTTTTTAGCCTGCTTAATAGGTCTTTTATTATTGACAGATGAAGATAAAGTGGTTCTATCTAAATTGGGGTAACTAACACAATTGAAATCATCAGCAATGATCAAATAACCCTTATTGATCTTATCAACTTTATCCATTATCAATGAAAATGTCGTCATTGGATCAACATTAGGGAGATATACGTTAACCAAAGTGAAAATCTTATCATCAATCTTACAAACCAAAATAATAAACCTAACTTCTGAATCTAGTTCCAAGTATAGAATATCGAGTTTAAGATCTTTAGTAAATATAATTGCCACCCCCCTTTTTTTTTATCTATTAGTGAGGCCTGGATAATGGTTGAAAATTTATCTCCGCCCCATCTTTGTCTAGTTTCTTTAAGCCAATGCGTTTCTTGTAGAAAAGCTATCTGTATGTTTTGTTCCATCAAAGAGTTATATAATCTATGTCTTTTCTTATTAATATTAAGCCCCTGGACATTTAAAGATAGAAACTTCAGCATATGGATACATCATAAGCAATATCTATAGACTTCCTGCTCAAAAAAAAGAAAAACACTAAAAATCAAAAGAAAGACTCACAACATACACATTCTATCTTTGGACTAAAAAATAGTCCATCACCACCATTCATCAAACTATTAGGTAAAAACCTAATACTATTGAAATCATTGAAAGCCATATAGCTCAATGAAAAAAGAGTAGTAAAACTACACAAGAGGGGAGACCCTAATCCATGACTGAGTAAGGAGCCTACCTCTAAAAAGGCCCTCCCCCTCTCTTGGCGTATATCTCTCCTGAGAAAAAAAAAAAAAAAGGAACAAATGTTTAATTTTACCATGTGTCTTTTGTGATACCAATGTATATAGAATTAAGGGTTACGTTTATCCTGTTTACTTAAACCCCATAATTTTTTCCTCATTACCTTTAGAAATACCTTCATTGCATTTTATCTTACAAAGCATAACCTTCAAAAAAATATATATATTTATAGCTCTATTAAGTGATAATTATTTATATATTAATAGAATAATACCTTGTGAAGCAATTGTGTGAAATTTTATCAAAATATCTTTTAGAGTGAAAAAAAAAAGCCAACAATAAAACATATATATCAAGTAATATTTAGATATACTAGTGAATTAGTGCCCTGTGGGACAGGAACAAATGTATAATTTTACTATGTGTCTTTCGTGATACCAATGTATATAGAATTAAGGGTTACGTTTATCCTGTTTACTTAAACCCAATAATTGTTACCTTATTACCTTTAGAAATACCTACATTGCATTTTATCTTACAAAGCATAGCCTTCAAAAACAATAAATAAATTATAGCTCTATTAAGTGATAATTATTTATATATTAATAGAATAATACCTTGTGAAGCAATTGTGTGAAATTTTATCAAAATATCTTTTAGAATGAATTAAAAAAAAAAAATTTCAGTAGTTTCTAGCTGGGCTAATTAAACTTTAGTTCATTTTAAAGCCCCATGAGAATCTACATAAGCTTCCAAAAAATAAACTCTTGCAAAAGAATAAACTCGTAGGAGCCACGCTAGTTACGATTAAGTATTGCATTTTCCATGTATTACCTGCCTCCAAGAACTTTATCTCCTTCCTTTCAAGAATACATTAGTTGCATTGTAAATTACATTACATGGCTCCAACAATAGTGCATATATTGTGGTCCTATCGAATGAAATTTACATATAATAGTGAAGTAGAGCTCTATAGAGCAGAGATAAGTGTAGATTTGTTTCTTTTGTAGTAATGATATAAAATGAACAAAATAAATAAAAAAATGTAATAATAATCTGTCGGGCTCCCTGCGGCATTGAATTGTATGTCTACAGAAATAATTAGTTTCTTTTGAGCCAGTCTATCAAACTCGCATTATTATCAAATATTTCTCTTTTCCATTCGTATGAGAAGCTTAACCTTAAAGGAAAAAGCCATTTATATTTTATATTATGGCTTCTAAGAGTTTGGGTGGCAAGGCTGAATACTTTTCTTTTAACTCTAGTTTCAAAGGACAGATCTTAAAATACTTTAACTTTCTGAAAAGAGCCCACAGAAATTAGATTTTTTTCTTGAAGCTTTCAGGATAGTCTCTTTAAAGTCAAATGAAAAAAAACATGCGATAATATCGCTTGGAGAGTCATTTTGGATTGCTTGTGGTTTGAATACCCTATGACACCTTTCTTTTAACAGTTTAGAAGAGTTCAAAGGTACTCCCAAAACAGAGAAATACTCCATCAAGGTTTGCTTTACATCTTCTTGTCTACCATTTTCTGGAATATCTCTGAAACATTAATTTTTTCGCCTGGATCGATCTTCTAAATCACATACTTTGATTTGTAAGTCAAAAATGTCCCGGTGTGCCTTTTGGCAATCATCTGTTAGGTTTTTAACTTGGAAATCTAATTCTTTTAGTTGGTCTTCAAATCTTTCCATTTTTGCAGCAAGTGCGTTTATTTCCAGTTTTATATCGGATTTGATTTCTACAGCAGTTGAAGCCAATTCGGCTTTTATAGCATCCAGGTTGGCCTTAAGGCTGGTATGAAACAGAGAAATCGTTATCGGATCCTTATCAGGGTTTTTTATGCCATCTGTCTCCATACTTTCCATACTAAGATCCATATCATTTAATTTCTGTTTAGTGAACTTATGTTGCTGTGGAGAAAAATAAGTTGTTAGGGATTTGTCCTGAGGTTTATCTTGGGAGGAGTCTTCTTTGTCTTTCCTCGGTGAGGGTTTGATTTCATGAGATTTTTTCGAAGCCATATTATAGCCGTTTCACAATGTATAGTCAAATAATATTTACACGGCAGACCTTTACCAATTACCCTTTATATGGGTTTAGTTTTTAACAGACTTCTGTTTTTACCGTATTTTTTTACTTTTCTTTCACTTTTATCTTATATCTTGTTTCTTCCCTTCCCCTTAATACTCTTTTTCTTTCTCCTTTTGGAGCCTTTTTTCAGCAATAGACAACTTAATTCAGTATGAATTTCTTTTTCCCCTTTTTTCTCTTTTTTTATGGGATCAGACTGAATACCAATATTCTGGTGTGCCAATTATATATATGCCAATAATATGCCAATATTATAGTCTGAACATCCTGGTCAGAAATAAAAATATAATAAGGCCGTGAGTATTGCCAGTTTACACTCTGGATTTATAGGTGGAAGTACTTACTGCCACATATAGTCTATGACCAGTCAATTTGACCAATTTATCAAAAGGAGAAAGTTTTTTTACTTCACTGTATATTTGCCAACTTGGCGTGTTTGTCGCAATTCCAGACCACCAAAGAGTTGGGGATTAATATCTTCAAAGCATAGCGTACCCGTAACAAAATACACTATTCAATGTAGTATATATCGCCGTCAATCCTTTAGGTGGGGGTGAAACCAGCTCAGGCTATCTTCATTAGTCCACCGACAAGAGGGAAGAGAAGCCTCTCAAGAATGGCTACCTCGGCAGATCATGGCGGGTCGCCCCTCCTTCTCCGTAATCACGGCGCCCGCACGTCAGCACGTCCGCACATCATGACGCCTCCGTCTGGTCAAATTTAAACCCTTTTTATTGTTTCTCCAATAAAGGAACACTCCAAGCACCATAACCCCTACAACTCACTACTCATTGTAAGGAGTTGAATAGTTGAACTGTTTGAATTTTCACCTGGGGTCAGCTGGACGGCATTTAATGCTTCCACTACTGACCATGGAGAGCAGAAAAGTCTGTCAGAGTGATCTCTGCAGTCCGGGGATCAGCTCATTCCCTGACAGTGGACAGCGGATGATTTCAAACAATGAGCTCACCCTGTACTGCAAGGCTTAGCTCACAATAACTTATAGGAACTGCTCCCAGTCCCAGTCAAGAGTTGAAGCAGTAATCAGTGCCCAGCAGGTCACAGGTAAAAAAAAGTCACAGTCTAAAAATGCTAGACTTCTTGCAATGGGGGTAGTGTCATGGTATTCCAGGCACAATAATTATTGTATCTCACTAGGAGTGTTAATTTAACTGCTTGGTAACCCCTTGAGTGTACCAAGATGGCTCGAAGGCTAAGACCAACCCCCAGCCGAAAACAGAAATGAACGTCACGCCAGACCGGAAGTGGTTTGACGCAATAAAAATGGGCGGGATAATTATGAATTTTCGGCGCAAAACATTTTGGAATATAAGAGGAGACATAAAGGTACCTTTATGCACCTGATGAAGGCGTTCAGCCGAAACGCATTGTGCTTGATCTAGGAAGATCTCTTGTATGCAGCTTGCTGTGTTTTGAAATGTAAGACCTTTTATTGAATTTTGGAATAAATGCTTGATTTTTAATTCTAACCCCTGCTGATTATTATTTACTACATGACCATTGGTGGAGAAGTACAGAAGCTGAAGCAGTACATCTATACATCTTACCTATGTGTATTTACCTGAGCCAGTGTTTACATACAGGCTCATAAAAATGTGAGTAGGATGCAACTACTTTATTAATATATTTAGTCACAGTGTGGACATTATGCAGGCTATCTTGCCCTATGTGAGCTATTTTGTTTTATAGAAATTCCCTCTGGACAAAGTATTTTTTAAGTGTATGTATAAATTTTAACTCTGCTCTTTTGAGAACACTGTGCACATTGTTCTTGTTACTATTTCATAGAGCGCTAACCTTTTTTTTGCCTTGTGTTGTATGTATTGTATGGAATTAAGTGGTTAAGTGGTTAAATCTACCACTATTTTCCTTTTCTGAAAAAAAATGTATATTCATATTTTATAGTACAATTATCAGTTATCAAGGCTTTTTGTTTTAAACTTTTTGTCTGGAAAAAATTTTGTATTAGATTTTAGAAAATTGTATTTTTATCAAAGATTCTCATTATGAAGCCTTGTTGGATGATGGATAAATCAGAATAGCAATAAATGTGTTTTAATGAATTTACAAATGTGTACTGCAATGTCTTCATTCATTCATTTGCAAGTGAACCAAACAGAATTACTTAAACTTTGGATATAAATTTGCTGTTACTGGATTTTAGCTGACAAAGAACTGTGTCTGAGAATCAAAATGTCTAGGTTTTTAATCAAGAAATAAAAAGATCCCTTATGAACACGTTATAATTTGAAACATCTGTTGTACTATGTTTATGTGATGTATTTCTGCATAAATGATTCAAAATTAACCGATTACCTCAAAATGAGCAAGAACACCACATACTTTACTGAAAAAAATGATATTGTGAATAAAAGATGTAGGTTTTTTTTCACTAAACAATTAAATTAAATCTTAACTGTTTAAGGTAATTTAAATTGGGGATATAGCTGATCTGTTTAGGCCAATTTCCAAATGAATCCTTCTGTTTATTAGCATTCCTAATTTTGTGAATAATACCCCACCTCCCACCCCTCACCCTCTCCCCTCTCACCTCTATTGCTGTAAATGCTTGTTTTTGGCTTGTTTAAATATGATCATGGTCTTCCCAAGACATAAAGAGTAATGCAAACATGGAGCCCTCAATCACTGTGGCTAGAGAAGAATCAGATACAGCCCACAGAGGAGTCTCAATGAAGGTCAAAGCAATAATCTGAGTTTGCTATATCTCTTGTGCAGAGGGAACTTAACCATTTGAGATCTATATTGCCTTTGTAGGTGGGCTACAACTGGCTAAGGTTCTCTCTGCAATAGCACAAGTGAGCTAAACCTTTCATGATACCTGAGCTGAGCAGAACCTTCCTGAAAGCCAAGCTACTTGTAATGATGTCTGTTCTCAGTACTTTCATAAACTTGTTTGGCGTTTTTTCCATTCAGACTAAGCCAGACATCATTGAAGCACACAGTAGGGAGCCTGTAATCTTGGTCAACCTAGCCCTTATCTGAAGTCACACCAATGTGTGCAGAAGGCAAAAAATAATGAACATTATACTTGTTTATCTGTTTCAAAAAACAAAAACATAAAATATGAGAACTTTGAGAATGGGCAAAAGCTTAGAGAAACTCAGTAACTTGCCCTTCGGTTTGTCACATATGTTTTTTGCTCACTTTTGCATATCAGACTCACACCACCCAACCTATATCTCCATTGTGTTGTTGGGAGGGATGCCGACCGCTTTCTCCTTCTGTAGTTCCTCCTCCTGCTTGAGAGTGAGGATACTGTACTCCCCTCTCTCGATCACATTCAGCCGCTGGGGAGTGAGGATGCTGTCCTCCCCTACTGGAAACACATGCTGCCACTGAGGAGTGACACTCCTGCCCTTCCTTCCTGGAAACACATAGTGCCGCTGGGGAGTCGGGCTACTGTCCTTCCCCCCCGGAAACACATTCTGCCACTGTGGAGTGAGGCTACTTTCCTTCCTTCCTGGAAACACAGCCTGCCTCTGGGGAGTGAGGTTACTATCCTCCCCTCCTGGAAACACATACTGCCGCTGGGGAGTGAGGCTACTGTCCTTCTCTCCCGGAAACACATTCTGCACTGTGGAATAAGGCTACTTCCCTTCCTTCCCAGAAACACATAGATAGCTTATGTGTCCTGCTCAGTCATTTCTTTTCCCCACTTTTGGAATATCCGCAGGGGTTTTTAGTTTTCTTCACCCATGAAAAACCCACAGCCCGCCCCATATAAATGGCTAGTATTTACCTTTTCTGGTTACTTTCTTATCCCTGCCCCCTTCTGGCTCCATACATGCCATTCTCTAAAGAGATACTCCACAAAGTGCACTTACCTGTATGTCCTCCATTTGGAAATCCCCCTCCTTGTAGTACATGATGACCAGGTTCAGAGTGCCACCCCCTGCTCAAATTCCTGGTTCCAGTTCATGTCTCCCTCTCTTATATCTGTCTGCTGGCTCTCAGTCCCTCTACCCAAAAGCTCTGCATGCACAGTGCCTCCCACATCCGGTCAGCTGGGGCTGAGCATCCATGACATTAAAAGCAGCTGGCCAAGCAGGGGTCAGTCCCCAGCCAAACTCTCCTTCAACGCAACAGTTGTATGTGGGATTCACACTCAATAAACATGCCCCTTGTAGGGGAACCCAGCTGGGCAGTCAGGCCCCTATTGAGTGATTGGCCTGGTCACAGATGCGACCCCTGTGACCATGGTAATTCCTCCCCTGTCTCCATCGCAATTTAGTAAAATTTTCAATAAGCAAGATAATTGTGTACATTTTTGTTTTTTATGCTGTCATAGTTATTGTATCAGGGTTATTCACTAAAGTGTGAATTCAATATGAAGTTCAACTGAACTTTAAATATAAGGTCAACATAGCTGAACTGGAAAAATCCCTAAATTAACTATAATTTCAATTCAGCTACTCTGTCCTTAAATTTAAAATTCTGTTTCAATACACTTTTTATCATTTTGTATGGCAAAACCATCTAATTCCTCCTGCTGCACAAATATATACTTTACATGTTGTGAAGAAACAATAATAATATTTGATCACTACTACTCTATGCTCTTGTAATGGAAATATCCAGTTTTTTTTATCAGAGTTACTCTTCACTTTCAAATATACTATAACATTTAGTTTTTTTAGGTTTGTAATAGAGAATGGGTTAAAGGCATTTTGGAAACATTGAAGAATCACAATTTCCATTTCAATTCCATTTTAAAAATACAAGTTAATAATTGTAACAGCATGATATTTGACAAAGCTTTCTAGGAGTCAAAATGACAAAGGTGAAATCCTGAAAAGAACAATGAATTAGTTAAGCTGAACTTTAACCCCTATTCAGCTTCTAATTAGTTGAGCTAGAGCCACTTTGCGAATGAGTCATTCAATCAATT